TGTCAAAATTTATGACAAAAAGTATATTGAAGGCATAATCTAAAAAAACTAATTTAAATTTAAAATTAAAAAAATCAAGACATCTTGATAATTAAAATATCAAAATTAATAATAAAAAAATTAAAATATTTTTAATAAATCAATACATATTTTTAATAATATTTAAATAATATCATAAAAACTTTTATCATTTAAAGTATAAAATATCTTAATTTTCATTTTTTTTCTCCTTAAATTTAATCCTTAAATTTAATTTTATAAAGCAAAAAAGAAAACTTGCAAAAACTCAAAAATAAAAGTTCCGTCAAAGTCAAACACCCCTAATTATTAGGTTCAAAACCTCGATCTAAATACGACTTGTAGCTCTTCCAAAGCTACTCTCCTTTCCTCGCTCGCCTCTCATTAGAATTCAAATTGTGTTTGCAATCGTTTCTCTACGTCTGCACTTGCATACATAATGGCTGATGCCGTTATCACCCTCCTCGTTATCCCTGTTATTGAGGAGGCACTCTCTAGAGTCGCTTCAACGCTCGGCAGAAGAATCGGACAATTCTTGAATTCAGGGGATTTGAAGGCGGAGCTGGAGAAGCTGCAGTGGAAGCTCAAATTCATAGAACCTGGCCTCAAAAATGTAGATCAAATGCAAAGTGATGAACGCATAAGGGATTGGCTGCAGAGGCTCCAAGATGCCGTTGATGATCTGCGGATTCTGCTGGATGAGGATGCATATGGAGTTCACCGGCAGAAAGGTCGGATTCCAAGCCAATTCAAGAAACAGGTGCACAATTTCCTTTCCCCCTCCAAATCCATGGCTAGCAAAATTAAGGAGATTAATGGGTCTTTCGATGAAATTTTAAAATATTTAGATTGTAGTAGACTGATAAATCACAACCAAAATCGTGAAGCTCCTAGGCGTGAAGCTGATGAGATTAATGTTTTGCAAAGGGATGGTGATGTCTCTGAAATTGAAAGTTTGCTGGATGAGTTGAGCCAGAAACATCGCCTCTCTGGCCTTTCCATAGTTGGCATGCCAGGTGTTGGAAAGACAACAGTAGCTAGATCAATATGTGTGAGGGCAATGGAAATGCACCCCTCCAGTCTGGTAGCCTTGGTGCCGGTCGATAAGGATTTTAACGAAGAGATGATTTTAGGACAGATGTTGAAATCTCTTGATAGCCATGCTGGTGGAATGACAGATATTGATCCAATACTTCATCATCTTAAACCAATGTTAAAAAATAAAAAAGTTCTTCTCATCCTTGATGGTGTATGGAATGAAAAAGATGCTCAGGGGTTGAAAGAGATCATCTCTTGTCTGCCACAAAGGTTTGAAACTGCTAGGATCTTTGTTGTCATAACAACTAGTAATAAAGAGGTAGCTTCACTAATGATGGACACAATTCCTTGGCGCAAGTATGAATTGCAAAAGCTATCAGATGAAGACTGCTGGTTGATAATGGAGGAGAATGTTCTCAGATCGTCCAATGGAACTCCAATAGAAGATCCACAGTTGTTGCTTATTGGAAAAGATATTGCAAAACAGTGTGGGGGTTTGCCATTAGTTGCAGCTGTCTTTGGCAAACACTTGGG